ATTAACTTCAGCGGAAAAATTACATTACCATAGGACCAGTATAAAGTCAAGTAAATTAAGATATTTTGACAAATGTTATATTAAGAAGTATATCTTATTAGGCATTTAATATGCACCCGGAAGTTTGCTAAGTATGCTAAGTGTGACAGACACTAAGATGACCACGCGCATCTTAGAGTTAAGGTGTAGCTTTGCAAGTAATGCTGTGGTAATGGGATTCTCTGAGGATGCAGGCAGTGGCAACCTGCTAGGAAGGCTAGAAGTTGGGAGGGGCACAGTTAGAGTAACATTCTGGCAATCAGAGCATTGTTATTACCAACACTACCGGGGATTCTGCATCTTCTCTGAAGCACTAAATACAAGTATAACTGCTTTTATTATTAGATGAAGAGGAGTCAGTAAAAAGAGACAGAGAACTCAAGTCTCAAAATGGTTCTGATTTAGGGTCTATATTAAGTCTCTGATTGGTCTGTGAATTGATGCAGAGCAAACTAAAAATGACAAGAGACCAACCATTGCAAAGTATCTTCCTTCAACATGTACCAAATAATCATGCTAGCTTTAAAGAGGGGAAGAATTCAGTGGAAAGAAATAGGAGGCCATTCTCAGCAAAACATTTTAGTCTATAAAGAAACGAAACCATTGTGATCTTGTTGAAAAAATGAACTACATAAATCATTTTAAAATTAGAAATCTGCATATAGACCAGACTGACAAATATGCCTTGATAGGTGTTTCTATCCCAGCACATGTCCCACCACTATGACAGAGATCTGCTATATACTTACTCTTGGCTATCAACAGGAGCGTGAGTTAACAAGCCAATTGATATTAATTAGCATTATGGGGCTGGGAAAATGGGAAAGACTTTCCTGAAATGAGTTAAACAGAAACCTGAAGGGCCTGGGAGCCAGGCGCGGTGGCTCACACCTGTAATCCCAGCATTTCGGGAGGCCGAGGCGGGCAAATCACGAGGTCAGGAGATCAAGACCACCCTGGTTAACATGGTGAAATCCCCTCTCTACTAAAAATACAAAAATTAGCTGGGCATGGTGGCGGGCGCCTGTAGTCCCAGTTACTTGGGAGGCTGAGGCAGGAGAATCGCTTGAACCCAGGAGGCAGAGGTTGCAGTGAGCCGAGATTGTGCCACTGCACTCCAGCCTGGGCAACCAACAGAGTGAGACTCCGTCTAAGAAAAAAGAAAAAGAAAAAAAAAAAAAAACCTGAAGGGTCTGTAATTCATCAGATCCTAGCTAAACACCTCCAAGAAGATTCATGTGCAATCATCCTAAATTTTACAATAACTAATTATTCTTGAAGTTACCATTTCCAGTGCCCTTCCAGCTGAGAGTGTGAGATGGTCAGGAACAACTTTCTGTCTGTACTGGCTGGAAAACTATGACTCAGGAGGGTGAACTTTTCTCAGGTCACAATTTCACTACTTGCTAGTCACACTTAAGCTTAGAGATCAGGCACTAGGGTGAAATTAAATTCACTCATCTGCCTTTCCAGCTGGTAATATCTTGCTCTGATCCTACCTAAATTACCCTGAACACAATTCCAGTTTACATCCTTGAATGAAAGAGCTCTAAGAATCTTCTTTTAAAGTGAATCCTCTATTCTGTGAGCACCCAGGCAGGGCACAGAGCAATAGGAACAAGGTCCCTTACAGTGCTGGCCTCTGAGATGAAATCCAGTGATGCTTTCCTGCCTCTAAAACATGGGGGATAAGTGTGTATACCAGGTCAGATTTACTGAATGCAAGCAAGGTTGCCACAATAGGAAGTACGTGGTGGCAGGCAGATGGGTAGATAACGGTATCTATTTTCTCAGGGGCTACTGGATTGGGTAGTTAGAACTTGTTTCTTTTGTGACAAATTCTCCTTTCTATTTTTAGGCTTGCCCCCATGGCTTTCTGACATTTTAGCCAGCTCCTTCCCTTTCACCCACACACCCAATCACTACTTCGTCATCTCAGCAGGAGGGAAGGGACACTTTGATGAAGAGAACACAAAACAGTTTACATATTTCGGGTATATACTATACTTTCTCCGATTTAGTCTGCCAGAAATTCAGTCTGTGCCGAAATGACACCCTTCCCCCAACCTATTCCATTCAGGACAACTGCAGATGAATGTCAGGCTCTTCTGTCCTCTCATTCTCCGTGTCTTTCCTTCACATAATACAGGAGGAATGTAAATCCGAGTCAAAACTGAATGGGAGGTACAAAGGAATCTATATTTTTGTCGAAAATAAGACAGCCCTTCAGAACAGGGAGGCAAAGTGGCACAGAAACCGAGTTGCACACCAAACTTTGCCTATGTAGATGATTTCCTATCTTTGATAGATGCATGCAGAGGAATTTGTATGTTTTTCTCCTGGCCCTTCCCTGTGACACTCTATGCCCTCTAAAGATGGGGCCTGAACTTCCTGTGTATCCTTTTCTCCTCCCATTGAACCAAATAGAACATGTAAGTATTTGACAAATGATGAAAAATTACTGACAAATCATTTTGCTGTTCTGTAGATTGACTCTATCAACAGAGAGAGAAATAAGGTAATTTCCAATCCACATACCAATTGAAATCTGTATATCCAGGCACCTCTTCAAACTTCTCTTTTCTGCGTGTCTTGGTAACTCTCATTTCCCTTTGCCAAGATTCCTCCTCTTTACAAATGTTCCTTTTCCTCCAGGTAATAATCAGGCAACAGACGCAATGCATCTCTACTTTTTATTCCTTACAACTCTTTAAATAGCCTATGCTTAGCAGAAGACCCCTGCCATTTAAAGCAACGTTTCTAGCATTCTTTACATACTGATAATTGCTTCTTATTGGAATGATGAATAATCAGTTCAATAAAACCTATATTCAATTTACCTCCCCAGTAAGAGAGTCATTTAGGGGTAGGCCTTCCTCTTTCTTCCCTTTTCCTATTTAGAAAGTTTGTTTCTTTTAAGGTACATAGATGGTTTCCAGGTTCGATAGTAATAAAAAAAAAAAGAAGTCTGGGTCTCCTGCCTATGACTGGGCTGTCTTAGGGTCAAAGTACAGAATACAAACCAGACCTTTTGTTTCATAAGGGCAGGGGAAGTTGTGTCTTGCTCTGTCATCTGTTATGTCTGGCCCACAGTAGACACTCAACAATCATTTATTGGTTGAGTAAATAAATGTGAGGAATAAAAAATGAAGCAGTAAATCAAAGCACTACAGAAATTAAGCTGAGGTTACCAGGCCAGTTTTAGGAACACGGAATCAGAATTTTCAGAAGATGGAAGCACAGGATTGCAGGAGTTGCAGTTATAAGAAAACTACTTAAAACCCTTCGATAGATGGATGTTTGTGCTGACACCATCTTTTGATTAGATTGCTTCTTGCACAAGAAATACTGAATAAGAAAACCTGTGTCTAGAAGTTTAATACTAACTGGAGCTCTGAGATATACTAGCAGTGGCTAGAATTTATTTCTGTCCTACTTTATGCCAGCACAGTTTGCAAACATTATCTTGATCGTCGCAACAACCCTACAAGGTGGCCATTAGTTTTATTTATTTTCAGATAGAGAAAGTACAATCAGTAAAGTTAAATAGCCTACCTAAGTCAGCTAGCTAAGTTTAGAATTTGGATTCAAATCAGATTATAAGTCTCGGTTCTTTCCCCTAACCACAATGCATCACACCAAATAAGCAACATGCCATAAACACCTAGATTCGACATATTTGTGGGTTTTTATAATTTTTTAATTTAAAAAAATGTCATTTTGTTTTGTTTTAGAGACAGGGTCTCATTTTGTTGCTGAGGTGTGATGAAAGCCTACTGTAGCCTTGAACTCCTGGGCTCAAGCGATCCTCCTGCCTCAGCCTGTTGTATAGCCAAGACTATAGGTGCATGCCACCACTACCAGTTAATTTTGTTCTCTTTTATTGGTAGAGATGAAGGTTTTGCTGTGCTGCCCAGGCTGGTCCCAAACTCCTGGACTCAAGTGATCCTCCTGCCTTGGCCTCTGCAAGTGCTGGGATTATAGTTGTAAGCCACTGGGCCTAGCCTTTAAAAATTTATTAATTGTGGTAAAATACCTACAACATAAAATTTACCCTCACAATCCATAAGTGGACGCTTCAGTGTTAACCACATTCACATTGTTCTGTAACAGATCTCTAGAACTTTCTCATCTTGCAAAACTAAAACTCTATACCCATCAAATAACTATTTCCTCTACCCCTAGTCCCTGCCCACCACCATACTACTTTTTTTCCATGATTTTCACTACTCTAGATGTCTCCCATAAGTGGAACCAGACACTATTTGTCCTTTTGTGACTGGCATATTTCACTCAGCATAATGTCCTCAAGGTTCATCAATGCTGTATCATGCAACAAGATCTCCTTCTTTTCTAAGGGCTGAATAATATTCCATTGTATGTATATACCACATTTTAAAATTCATTCATCTGTCCATGAACATTTGGGCTGCTTTTACCTCTTGCCTATTGCTGTATGAATGTGGTTATGCAAATATTTTGAGATCCTGCTTTCAATTATTTTGGACATATACCCAGAAGTGAGATTGCTGGATCATATGGTAGCTCTATTTTTAATTTTTTTTGAGGAAGCTCCACACTGTTTTCCATAGCAGTCACATCATTTTACATTTCTACCAGCACTGCACAAGGGTAGACAGATTTGTTTTTAAGTAGAATAACTTGCAGTTTTAGTATCAAACTGACCAAATAGCTTAGCCTACAGTGTCTTGAAAATTAAATGCAACAAAAACTCTAGACCTTTTAAAGCCAGGTACCATTTAACTGTGAATTAAGTATTTACAAATATAGATGGATGGCCATCCCATTTTAAAAACAATAAAAGTAGCAATCATTTTCCAAGAGACTATAACAAATAGAACAAAAAACAAAGCTCATGTTGTATCAGTGCAAAGGTATTAGGAAAAGTGTTCCTACTTCCTGAATATAAGTAGAAGCAGGTACATAAGTTGCACACTTACCCTGGTTTTGGCATCGATTTTAGCTCCTCGATCGAGCAATAGTTTTACCATATTTGCATTTCCTCTTTTTGATGCAACATGTAAAGGAGTGATGTCATTCTGAGAAGAAGAGGAAAAAAAAGTACAGATTTGATATTTTTGGTTTCAACAAAATGTTCCCTTCTAAACTTTCCCCAACATATCCCCATTTTCCCCTCTTCTTTTCTAAACATCCTTTATGAACAGTGTGCTTCCTAACACTTCTGACAGGAATTTTCTTCAGAAGGCAACTTTAAAAAGGAATGAATTGTAAGGGAATCTGTGAGGCAGGGTCCAAGTTAATTTATTTCAGTCACTTGAGGTGACTGATGGTTGAGGTGATAATTTGGTTTTTTTTTTGCTCAAAAAGCCTGCATTTTTAAGTCAATGTATTTTTCTATAAATGTGAGTGATACATACTGGCTAGTGAGTGGTTGACTAACAGGCTAATTAAGTCAGTACAGACTGAATTTAAAGGAGTGTCATATGACTTGGAGCCTTTCCCAGGTTCCGTTGGGAGCATCAGGTTGTCAAGGAGAGACAATAGGAACTCAGACTGGAAAATCTGTTACTTCTATACATAGTCACATGACTTCCCATGTCCGTGGTGCTTAAATGTGTTTACAGGCATTTGCTAGCAGTCTCATGAAAACTGTAATTCTTATCTGACAAATATTTGAAGAATAGCCAGATTGTTAGGGTTATCTGAAATTCTAATTGCGTTCTCCTTGATTTCAGTGGAAGGTTACCATAGTTATTCTTCTCTCCAAGCATCTTACAGGCACTATGATTGTTTCCAGACTGTCAAGGAAACATATGCACACATTGAAAACAATTCCCTGATTTCTTGTTTTATTTTATTTTTTTTTCTTTTTAAGTGACAGAGTCTCGCTATGTTGCTTAGGCTGGTCTCAAATTCCTGAGCTCAAATGATCCTCTTGCCTCAGCTTCCCAGAGTAGCTGGAACTACAGGTGTGCACCCCCATGCGTGGCTTATTCTTGTGTAGCAGCAATATGAGTTTAAGTTCTGTTGTTCACAAAGAATCAATTACATCATAAATGAACTAGGCTCACAGGGATTATTGATTTATAAGTTGATAACAGAAACAATATAGTAACTATCAAGTATTGATCACTTCCTGCATGTCAGGGACTGTGCTAAACTCTTTACTATCTCATTTAATTCTCACAATCCTCATAATATCATATATAATCTAAATTGCAATCCCCGTTTTACACATGCAGAAACAATTGGCAGAACCAGGATTCAACTCTTCAACACTTCAACTTTTGAATGCATGATTTTAAAAACCACAATAATGAAAAATTCCAACATACACAAAGTTTGGGCAAAAAACCATAATGAATTTCAAGTGCTCCTTACCCTGGTTCAGTAAACACCAACCTTTTGCCAACATTATTTCTTTTATGCTCCCTACGGTTTTTTTTTTTTTTTTTTTCCTTTTTTATCCTGAAGGAGTTTAGGAAGAGGAGAAAGAAAAATCTTGGCATCATGTTATTTTACCCATAAATACTGCAATTTATCTCTAACAGATAAGGACATCTCAAAAAATTACAATACCATTATCATAACGAAGAAAGTAAAGATAATTCCTTTATGGCACCCAAGACCGCCTCCATGTTCAAATCCTCCCATTATCTCCAGCTATCTCCATGAGTCTGCTCAAGTTGGAAGGTCGACATATTGCATTAGGTTGAAAGTCCTTTAAGTCTTTCTTAATCTCCAAAGCTCCTCTATCCCACCTTTTTCCCCGCTGCGTTCATTTATTTATGGAAGAAACTGGGTAATTTATTGTGTAGACTCTTCCACAGCCTGGATTTGACTGATTGAGTCCTCACGGGGAGTTAACATGTCCTTTTCTCCCTGTATTTTACATAAACTTTTCTAGTTAAACGCTTTTAATGGTTGTAGGGTTAGGGTTAGGTTTACAACCTTTCCACAGATGGAAAGGTTGTACGTTCTCTTTGCTCACTATTCTCAGATGCTAAAATATAAATCTTAAATGAAAGAAGAAAGAGACCTGAGGAAAACAAATTTCTCTTAGTAATGCTGGTGGAAAGGAAACAGACTAATATTGCTGTTCCCCAGGGTGTAGGTAAACTTTTTCCGCGAAGGGCCAGATGGCAAATATATTCTGCTTTGCAGGCCATACAGTCTCTTGTATCTACAGAACTCTGCCATTGTGGCATAAAAGCAGCCACAGGGACATGCAATATGTAAAGAAATGGGAGCGGTTGTGTTCCTAAAACTTTACTTATGAAAACAGGCAGTGGGCTGGATTTGGCCTGTAGGCAGTGGTTTGCTGACCCCTGCTCTAGGCCTACCAGCTTGCAGCTGCACAGCTTTCAACTGTGTATAACAGGTTACAAAAGAGGAACTGAAACTATAGGCTGTGCCATTGGTCTTTTTGGTGTGGAGGACTATCTGTTGTGAGTGAAAGCTGGCAGAAGGAAATAAATTTCATGACGACTTTGAGATCTGCTTGCTTTTCTCTGTTTTCTGAGTACAAGTGTGTATTGCTCTAGTGACCCAAGCGGCACAGTGGCTGAATTCTAGAGCTGAGACGGCAGGTGGAGGGTCAGATTGGGAATAAAGGAAACACTGACCAATAGGAGAGCTCACTGAGCCCCAGGTGGGACATGACATGAAGACCTCATCACTTCCCAGTGTGAGTAAGGGCTGGCGTGCCATTTCCTTTTAAAGCTATGACCTCACTGGTTGAGAAGACTTAGTTAAACTTTACACAAACAGGCCAAGTTTAGTGAGAGGAAGAAGTCTATTTCTAATTTCACTCTATTCCATATTTACGCACTCTCTCACACTGTGGATGTGGAGATGACAAAAAGGTGCCTTGAGTTTCTAATTCTCACATTTTCTCCACCTCTCCGGCCCTTCCTAGAGAAATACTTTATATTCTACAGCACTTAAACAGTGTTGTAAAGGGCCTGCACTTCTGTCATTGCATTTTACCCTCACAACAATCCACTGAAATAGGATAAATATCATTAACCCCATGGGATGAAGAAAGTGAGGCACAGAACTGGTAATGTGCAGATTAAGAAACAGCTAATTAGAGGCAGAATCGGGATTAGAATTCGGGCTTCCAGACCCTCAGGCTGTGGTATTTTCAGGCAGGGTTCCGAAGACCTCTGTTTAAAAACCCTAGCTTCTCATCTCTGTCAAATGCAGCTTCCAATAAAATGCAAACACCTTTTATTCCTGAGTCACATCGTGGATGTGCCTGTGAAGTAGAAACAAATCAAAATGAAAGTGGTACCTCAGGGCCACACAATGGACTACTCGTATTTTGATTCCTCAGCTAACCAATAAAAATGCATTATGCACTACTATGAGTAAGGTTGTGTGCTGCATTTCCACTGTCTAAGCAAGCAACAGAGTTATGCAATCCCAACATATCAAAGAAACTCAGTGATGTTAGAGCTAGAAGCCCTGCATAAGAGAACCCTCGTTTGCGGCTGGTGAAACATAAATTTGTACATTCTTGCTAGAATGCAATTTCGCAGTTTATATAAAGAGCCTTCAAATCTGTAACCATACATTAGGACAGAGTTTGGCTGCTGTGGTGGAAAGGGCAGGAATGTGGAGAAAGACCCAGCCTTGAACCCAGGCACACACCCTAAAGACTGAGTCTGAGCCTACATGAAAGACCCCCGACCCCTAGCACCAGCCTAGCACAGAGTAACAAGCAAGAGTAGTCAACTGCTGAGGTAAGGCAGGAGTGTGGGGGGACCTCCTCTGTGCTGCAGGTGTGCAGAGAAAGCTCAGGGTGGAGCACCAACACTAAGCAAAGTTCTCTGATGCCCCAGCCTCCACCCTAAGCAGAAGGCAAGATTCCACTAGAGGAATCTGAAGCCTGAAACAAAATGTAAACTCAGCTCAACTCCTGCCTAAACAGGCTCCACCTCTCACATTTGCAGCACAGAAGAAAAAGTATGAGTATGCTCAGCTCCAGGCCAAAATATTATTTAACTCAATCTCTCCCCTTCTACACACAATATCCAGTGTTCTATCTAGTAGGAACAACATGCATGAAAAGATAGGGAACTGCAGCAAAGGCATGGGATTTTTAGCAAAGAGTCAAATGGAAAAATTGCAGTATCAGAGTGAATTCCTTTTTTGGGCTCCTCAGTAGACTTCACACAGTTGAGGCAAGATCCATTGAACTCAAAGATATGTCAATTTAAGTTATTTAAAATAAAAACATTAAGGAGAAAAGGAGTGGAAAAGAAAGTACAGAGCCTCCAAGAATTGTGGGATGATACAAAACAGCTAATGAGAGCTGTATAAGAGGAGACAGAACGGGACAGAAGACAAATTTGAAGAGGTAATGAATGGTCAAGAATTTTCTTGGAGTAATGAAAGGCAGAAAAATACAAACCCAGGAAGCTCAGGAGATACCAAGCAAGACAAACAATAAACAAACTCACCAACTAGACACAACAGTCAAATTGCCAAAAATGAAATATAAAGGGAAAATCTTGATGGTGGCCCGAGGAGAAAAGACACACCTCACACAGAGAACAAAGATAACAAGTAGAACGGACTCCTCATCAGAAATTATGCAATCCAGAAAAAAAGAAGTGACATCTTTAAACACTGACTGTCGAATAAGAATTCTACACCAAATGAAAATATCTTTAAAAAATTCAAGGAGTAATAAAGACTTTTTAAGATAAACAAAAGCTAAGAGAATTCATCCTCAGCAGACCTAGAATACATGAAATGTTCAAAGTTCTTCAGACAGTAGGAATATGATAGTAAACAGAAACTTAGACCTGCACCAAGAAATGAAGGGCTCTGGAAATGGCAAAAAATGAAGGCAAATAAAAGAGATAACGGATGGTCCAAAGTAAAGACAAAAACAATGAATCATGGGGTTTCCAATATATGCAAAAGTAACTTGTATGACCACAATCACACATAGATGAAAAGGAGGAATTGGAACTATACTGTTGTCGGGCTCATACCATATTTGAAGATGTACTGTAATAATTTAATGACATGGAAAACATGGATATATTATTAAAGATATCAAACT